TTCAAATGTTAAACATGTCTTTACAGGTTTATTATTCACTCGGTTTTAGACGTATTATTTATTGTTTATATTAATTCGAACATTGTCGTCACAGCTCAGTTTATAATTGTCCACACACCATCGACGAACAGACTTTTTGATTTTAAAAATGGACAGTAAAATCAATATACGTAAACGTATTTATTTAATTGGTACTAGTTCTCATCAACTGGTTGGATGCAAGTTACCATCAAACAAACAAGTTTTATCGGTCCTATTTTTTAATATTCGAGAAGTCAAGTTAAGTTTACGTGAAAGTGCGCGGTTAGTGATTGACGAAACGTTAATATTTTGGCAAAAAGCCCGAACACGTACTAGGGAAGTTCGTAATTGTGTACCAATGTTGGAAGAGTTGTACAATACATGGCGAAGTTTGCAGAAAAATTCAAGTCGGAGAACAAATACTCAAATGAAAAATGAAAATGAGTTTGTACAATGTTTTGACGAACTATTCGACATTGCCCATGCAGATGCATTGGATATAATGACTATTGACATAGACAAACAGTTTTTAATTACTCAGAGACAAAAAGGTCCTCCAGGAGCGACGATGAGCGTCGATTGGATAAGTCAAAAAAGAGAATTTAAAAGATCTATTTCATAGGTTTAACATAAAAACAGATTTTTTAAATGAAGATTCCGTATTATGGAAAAGTAATCAGCACTATATACAAAGACTTAATAAATTTACCAATTTAAAAGTTGTTGATGACGCAGCAGAACGAGGAGTGAAACTAATGAGTGATTACAATAATTTAATCACTAAAACAGAAGATCAAAAGTAATTTTTAATTCAGACCATACATGATTACCGGCAAAGATATCCCAACGCTAAAAAAAATACACTAAAAAATTATTAAATAATATTACTAAATATTTAATTATGTCATTTATGTATATTATTATTTAAATATTATTTGTGTTTAATTTGAATTACATATGTATAACATAATATATAAAATATAGGTACACAATACGGCATATTATATTTATTAGGTATTTAATACTAAAAACTAGTTTTTTTTTTTGTTTTTTTTTTGGGGGGGGGAGGGTGAATAAAAAAGTACCAGTAACATTTTATATGGCATATTTAATTTAAAAAATATTTAATTCCTATACTTTTTTGCCTATCTTAATTATTTTAGACTAAAATTATAAAAATCGAAAAATCACCTTCCATTGAACTTCAACCCTTTTGAGGCACGCCTTAGAGTTGAACAATTACTACGAAACTTTACACAATTCATTTTTTTATGGTTTTAAACAAATTCCATGGGTAGCCCGATCAAATTTTTAAAAAAAATTATAAGGACCACCCTATAGTATACATAAGGTTATTTCATTTATATCTGTAAGCAACGATAAACCATTACTAACGAAAGACGATTCCGAGCGCAGTTCGGTAATACATAATTTGAAGTGCCATAATTTTTTTTTGCGTTTTTCGTTTAAATTTGATTTCAAAATGCTTATTAATAAAAAAAATTCAACATAAATATGGTCTCTTGTCGTTTTTTAATTTGAGCCATATTTGTGCTAGAAAACGTGGTAGGTATTTATTAAAAATAATGAAATTGTAAAAAAATTGTATTTTTTTCGCGGTTAATCATTTTTATTTTAAATACCGTTTCGAAAATCAAAAAATAACCTATGTATTTACCAAGTAAATAAAATTGACTTTCATAAAAGGTGTTACAACTAAACATCAGAGCAAATTTACTAGGAAAAAATGTATCCACTGACTAGAAAAATAAAAAAAAAAAATAGCATTGTAAAACCAATAGCTCCCTCGCTACTCGGAATCTAAAATTCGAAAATAACAAATATCTTTAAATAACTCAAAACAAATTTAACACACGTAGGAAGATTATAATACCAGTGTACTATACACGCACCTTCCTACACCTTTTTTTTCTTTTTTTTTTTTCAAAAAATTTACTGTACCTCTTGTTGTATTTTTATAAATGGTATTTGTAATAAGTAACAAAGTTCAAGATATCGGAAACTCAATACTTTGCTCATTTCACCGGGTTTTATTTTCGTTTCCGATCCAAACACAGTTTCCCGGTATGGTAAAATGTAATCTGATATAATCGTCATCTATTTGTCTATATTATTGTCATGTGCAGTACCATTCGATACGTATTATTTAGTATTATTCGATACGAAATAAATAGTTTTAATATTTTCGTTGGGCATTATAGGTAAAAAGAAAAAAAAATATACATACACACATATATACGAAATCAATCACTCATTTTCCATTGACGCGTTTTTTTTTTTTTTTACGGGTATAATTTATTCAAACAAGTATAATATTTGCCTCGAGTGTTGGTTATGTACGCGTTTGTATGTCCATGTGGTCGTATTAATGTAGCGATGCTCGTATATTTACGCAATCCAAAATGTCGCTTCTAAACATCGCAATAGTTTTATACATCGAGCTGTCAATCTCATATTATAATATTTGTTATTAGTGTTTTAACATATTATATTATTATTGTCTTTATATTAGTTTTTTTTTTTTTTTTATTATTATTCGAAATTACGGCGTCTAAAGTATTATAATAATATGTGCTTAATGGTATTAAAAATCTGAAGTAACGCCATAACGTACGACGGTGTATGGTTATCTCAATGGATCTGAAGAGTGTATTAAAATAATAATAATAATATAAACAATATTTACTAAAGAGTGGAAATAGATACTTACAAGTATGAGCATCTATATTTACTAGATTATAACGTTTATAACAGGGTTTAAAAGATTAGGCGTAACACTAAGCGTTACACTAGCAATAACATAATATTATCATCGTTATTATTATTTATTTATTTTCGATGCCGAAGTGTAACGTTATACTTGGTTTTTTGTTTTGGTAAGCGTTCTAAGTTCAACTTTTGACGAAAATCATATAAATTACGACATTTCAAAACACGCGTAACCGAATTTCGTTCAGAATCGTATTTTATTAACAATTATTTATCACTAAGTACAGATACAAATTAAATAGTTCTATACATCCTACCTTCTAAACTTTCCGTTTAAAACAGTGACGATTTTCAGTTTCAGAACGTATAGCAATGAGTTTTACTATGTGTCGAAATGTGCTTTATTGTTTGTCTATAAACAACTTTTCTACGTGATTCTAACGAGATTTTAAAATCTAAATTCAAAACTCTTATCAAAATAAATTGCTACAGATTTTTAATATTTATTTTATATAAGTTACCATTGTTAAAAAGTCAACTTATATACAGCATAATAAAGCAACTTGGTCAAATTTTCGAGCATTTATATGAAACCATAATAATTTTTTTCAGAAAAAGACTAGAAAATTTCAAACAGCTATGGATAATTCGGAAAATGCCAAAATATTTTGAAAAATCGTAATACATCTAGAAAGTGTTAATATAGTAATCGAATAGTGTTTGCTAAAAATCTCCAGTCCCTTCGAATATTACCATTATTACGAAATAAAATATTTAACCTCAAAATGCATTTATTCGATAAAAATTTAAAATCTGCTACAAGAAACATTCCCTGTTGGATTAATATTGATGATTGGATCAAGCAATTGGTCAAACTGAAAAAAATACATTTAAAATGTGGAATACTATTCTTAAAATAACTAATTGGGTAAATTGGTGCTAAAAATCTTAATTGGGATTACAAAGTATAATTACTGATATCTATATTAAGAGGTAATTTTTAAATAAGCTATAAGTTACACCACCCATATTTGTTTCAATAATAATAATTAACTATAACCTAATAATAATAAAGAACCACATTCAACGAATTCAACACAGTGCAGTCTTTATAACACCGAGCAGCTATAATCCTATATCGACTTTGCCTACCCCTACATTTCTCACCGTTGACTTTTTTTCATAATAACGCTTTCAAAATAAGAAAAACCGATAAAAAAGAAGTTTAATTTTATAATCGAATAAGATTTAAAATTGACAATAACTAATTTTTTGAAAACGTAAAACTTATTATGTATTGTTATTATTTTTTGTATTGCGTAAAAAGTTTGGACAAACCACGTTAAAGTTTAATTATTCTAATTGATTAATAATAATGTTATTATATTTGATACTTTCAAAGTTCTTTTTAATAATTATACCTAAAAAGGTGAGTGTTGCCGATGGTTATGACAATGTTTTAAAATAGAATGTAATAAAAATAAAATTAATAATTATAAATAAGTAATTTTATTTATATCTGAACGTAACGAAAACCCATTAATATTGAAAAACGATTCTGAATACAGAATTATAAGTGGTATTTTTCCCCTTGTGGCTAAAGTAACCTAAAAATCAACTGTTTTTGTTTGTTAGGAAAACTTAAAGGAAAATCAAACAATTGACCATCATAATTCAACAGTTAGATAAAAAAAATCTAAAAAATTGTCCCCAAAAAATTTAGACAAATATTTCGGGTCAAATGATCGTTTTTAGCCACCAAAAAAAAAAAAAACACATAGTAAAACCAAGATCACTCACAATATAAAATATAAATATATTTTTTTATCATTTCGAATAGAGGATATATGGACATATGCAATATTAAAGTTATGAAGTTATTAAGTTATAAAAAACATGATAAGATATACAGGAAATAATCTATACATTTTAATAACTAGTGAGACAAAAATATAATACAAATTATAACTGTAGGTACTAAATTATAGATTTCGAATTATAATTTTCGATTTCGAGGGTTGGTTGTATTACAAATAATTCCATATAATAGGTAATAATTCTATTTTTTAGTATAAATAAATGAAACGATATGTATTTTTAAATTATTTTTCTTCAATCCTACCTTTTTATTCGTCTATTTTAAATTTATGTATGTAGATATGTCGATATATTTGATAGATGATTGCAAAAAACAAAAATGCCAGAACAGTTTTTTAGGTATGTATCGAAAGAAAAAACTAACTTATTTGAAGTAAATTATTATGTTAGATGTAGGTACTAGGATGCGTTTAAGTATCTATTCTATAAACTTATAACAACTGTTTTTTATACTTTTCACGATGACACAAATAAATATCCTGTTAGAATGTATTGCTATATCAATCTTCCTTAGACATCCATCTGGTGTATATTCGATTAAACAACATCGTTACAGTATGCATATCTGAAACGAAATGTCAGTTATGTTTTTTTTCTCTCATAAAAATTCATATGAATGTGAAAACGAAATGTTTTTGAAACGGTTCATCGGATATGCGATTTTTGAGGTTTCCCACATCTGATATAGGTACAAGTCAACTCCCATTATTGTACTTGTCAATAAAATGTCCGGACCTCCAATATATATTAATACAGAATGCAGCTAAACTACTTCCTTAGTCTCAGAAAAATGTTGCACCTATCAGAGCGTAGCACTGTTGGGATTTTATCTGTATATTTGTATAATAAGTGAACGGCAAGTTTATGTTACGTCAGGTTTCAACCACAATTCGATATTTTTGACTATTCCAACAATCTGAGATCGTCCACATTCCTTTCTAACAACAAATACTGTTTCTCGGGAGTTTTTTTTACCAACAATGTAATCGATGTCCGATCCTAAACTACTAGACCCGTATTTAGGAAAATAAGCTTTCACGGAAAAATCACGTTGCTAGTTTAGTTTGTCCACGTCATAATTATGGCCGAAACCCGTCGTAACATATATACTTTTTATCCAATTCTATGAGTAGGTACAAACCGCACCACTCTATAGCCTCTGATAACTGCCATGCTGAAACTAAAGGTAGAGTTTTTCCGCACTGTGTATACATAATTATGTAGTTTTAATAAGACACCAAATATTGTAAAATATCGATGATATCTTAATTAAATAAAATTATTGTTTTAAACGGTTGCTAAATTTTGAACAAACCACACTTGAATTCAAAATGGTAAAAATCTATATTGAAAAACAGCATGATATGATATGATATCGAATATCCAGTCGAAGTCAGCAACTACTCAACAAACTTTTTCAAAGAAAGTAGTTTAAAAATTCAACTTATATTTAGTCAAGTACAAAACATGAAATAAATCAAGTTTGGATACAATTGTTGGCATATATCATTATTATTATTTGGTTCATTGTTACTAATATTATACAAATACACGGATTAATTGCAATAAGCATTATACTTGATTCACTTTTGATCTGGATATTTGATTAAAATACGAAATAAATAGCTCTATAGTGCTCAATAATTTAGCTAATTTCTATTGCGTTCTTGAATTGAAATTGTTTTGAAAAAGAGAAAAACATGATGTAGTAAACTCATTTTTGATTTTGTTTTATTTGTTGCAGTTTTGAACTGGATAGCCTATCTATAGTAGATACCAATAAATTAGTAATATATATATATATATTATAATAACGCGAACAACACAGTACAATATTATTTTATAGTAGGGTTATGACGTTCGATAAAAAACAAAAAAAAACTTGGAACATTATAACATTTTGATAAGTGTAATTCGTCGGTGTCCCCTATCCTTTTCACGTCCTTGTGTGTGTGTGTGTGTGTGTGTGTGTATGTGACAGTAAGCAGGCGTCTGTCACGTACACTGTTATTTAAAAAAAAAGTATACTATCGAGAACAATACCCCAGTATATATGAAAACGTGTGTTGTTTAATGGTATACATTAATTTAACGTACCTATACCTACCTATGATGTAAACGTTGTTATAATATTATATGATAGTGTTTTAATTGTCGTTAGGGAATGAGCTGTAGTATAATTTTTTTTTTTTTTTAATACATTTTTTTTAAATTAATGGTATGCCTACAAAGTGTGATTGTGCTTCGTTTACAAGGACGACGAATGCGTTATACTTTTATTTATTATTATTTTTTTTTTCAAAGAGCGTAGCACCAATAGGCATACATCAACTCGATTATCCCTGTTGTGTAAATTTTGCCGAAACCGAGATATAAAATTACATTCATATTCGAAATGTATATTGGTTATTTTCTTTCCATTATTATATTCAACCAGTTTGAAACTAGAGGGGTTTGTAACATTCGTTTGAAAAATAAATTAATTTGCGTTCATATTATTATTATTATTATTATTATTATTATTATAAATATATATATTTTTTTTTATTATTAAAATAATATTTACAATCGATGCTTCAAGGCATAATAAGCAAATTATAAAATAGGAAAGACATGCACAACAATGTTATGAATTAAACCCAGCGAATGAGTTCATAAAAAAAAAGTAGGTAAATAAATAATTCGAGAATATAAAGATTAAGCTAATACGTTTTTATCGTATCTGGATGGTTAACCGTTTATAATAATATACAATCACCCGTGTTAATTCTATCAATGAATACCACTGATTAATACATTTTATACAGCGTTATTAGTATATTGTTTTATATACCTATACAATATACAAGGTAATATAACACAGGACATAAGTACTAATAAACAGCCATTTGAACAATAAACCAGTGTTTGCGGATTGAATACATTAATGTTACATTCAATGTCCATTCACATTAATTAGTAAAATAAGTGCATTCTCGACCATAATTCATGTACAGTGTACACTACACATTTAATGTATATTCGTGCGTCATGGAGACGTCTCGTTCATTCGAAACCCAGGACATTATGTAGGCAATTAAAGTCCTACTTAATATTCAGTACATTTTTTTAGTACCTACTCAAAATCATCATAGTAAACTATTGGAGATCAGAGCCCATAAATATATTGGAAAATTCAAAATATGCATTTTTCTTTTTTTATATAAAATTGGCATTTTGATATCGTTATTTTAACGAAATGGACATCTCTCGTTTTTGTTTATGACCGAATATAATCTTTGTACAAAATTGAATTTCGTTCCTTTATTCGCTTTTGGTTGTATTTACAGTTAACTGATATGTTTTTGGATTCAACTAGTAATTTTAAACCATATAGGTGCTAAAACTTAATTTTTTCACAAATTTCAGAAAACCTTTCAGTAAGTATACATATATACGTGTTCGAAGCGTCATATCTGGAAAATTCGTATTTCTAACTGCATAATGTTTTCAAGTATTTTGACCGATAAAGTTATTTATTTTATTGTTATTATTAGATTCGTGCTGTCTAGAGCAATGAATTTCCTGCGGGTGTCTTTAAATTGATGTATTACAATATGGGCGGGGATGCATATAAAATGCTGGAACAATTTTTTTCGAAGCCGTATTTTGTTGGTATTTTTTTTCTAAAAATAATTTGTCGGAATGGTATTTTATTAGAAAATTTTAGATCGGATTTTCGTGGCCAATTCGGCATGCCATACATCTCTGAATAAAAATTATTTATCCGACAAATCATATTTTCAAATAAATACAAAATACCCCGATGAATTATTTTTCCGATAAAACACATTTCCAAAAAAAAAAAAAAAAACACTTTCCGACAAATTACATCCCTCTTCGTTTACTAGTCGTTATGATTGTACTTAAAACAAATCGCAATAAATCTTGAAATGTAGATACGGATTTCGCGTGGGTAACAGATTGAGTTAATAAAGAATGTTGTATTTTATTATAATTTGAATACAGAGAACATTATTTATGAAAATCGTCACATCCGATCTGTTTAGATTTTAAACGTAGATATTCAAAAATTCAAACGTCTGACTCGAATTTATTTTTGTCGGTTTTTTTTTTGTTCTCCTTTCTCGCCCCTCGTTTTTATACAATCGCGATTTTCAGGCTATATACAATCAAATAACCCATTTAAATTACCGTAAATATGAATATTTATATCCGAATATTTACTGTACGGAGAGATAACTTATTCGAACATTTCTACAACCTTAAAACATGATTACTGGTGTGAGGAAAAAAAAGAACACTATAATATTACCGTCGTTACATTAATATTGGCCGAGCGATTTTCATAGGATCCAATGCGGCGCAAAACGCTTCTACGTTTATTATATTATTTATAACGTTAAAAGTTCGAAATTGTTGTTACGCAAACAATTTCAATTTATACACCTGCATTTTTAATAAAAATTGTTTCGTCGTATTTAATGTTAATATTAGGTGGAATGGTGGCGATCCCGTCAATAAAAAAAATAAAATATTTTCTACGCTATACATTATAAAAAATATCATTCATCGTTAATTCGCATTATTATGTATAGTAATAATAATAATAATTCACGAAAATTACAAGTTTGTTTGGAAAAAACCTACAGTTCATTATTATTCCAAGTGAGTGGTTTGCATACGTTTATCCACGCACCTACAACTCCGATACACCTATGACATCATAAATACGAGGACTGTGCTCAGGGAATAAGAAAATATATCCTAGAAAACATGGGAGATGTAAGCATAATGCCACGGGAGAAAAACGAATTATCGATTATTCATCATAATCATGGGCATTTTATTGACCTAATTAATTATTTACGAATTATTGAAATTTAAATTCCATAATAATATTTTTTTTGGTCTTTGGAAAATAAAAATAAAATTGTATTTTTCGATGTTAAATATAACATCGAACCACCTACTAAACATACTACCTACTAAGTGACACGATGTCAGGAAACTGAAAAAATACTATAAATTCTATAAATCGCCGTCCATTTACTATCCAGACTCTATGTTGCATACATCACCATTTTTATATCCCCTCCAAATGCCCTCGTGTCTCTTTTACTCCCTCAAATTCTTCTTGATATTCTCGTTTCGCTTTGTATTCCTTTATTCACCCTCACGAGAATCTCGCCTATTTTTGAGTTATTGAATATCATTGTGATTACTCTATTGTCTTGTACCACACCGTATTATAACATACGTACTTGAATGTATATTTACCCGATTTTTAGTTTGACCTCTGAACATCAATAAATTGTTTTGAACTTATTGTTTATACAAATTATTTTTAGTTTTTATGTGGGTAAATTTGTTTTGGCCGAGCAGAAATGATTGACAATTTTACACGGGGTGATTGTTCATATTATGGGTTGTACTTATAGTTGTTCAAAAAAAAAAAAAAAAACCGGATATACTTCGTACGGATCGGCCACTGTTGTAGGTGAGAATTTAAGAAGTCAGAGGGAAAATTGAATGTACAACTGTAAAACGATTAATCATTACTAACGAAAAACGATTCTGGGAGGAGTTCGGTTATACATGTTTTGAAAGGCCGTAATATTTACGATTTGAAATAATACATTTCGTACAATTTTCTGTTTTACTTATTTTTTATGAAAACCTCTGTAAAAATCAAAAAATTGCCTCCTTATTTTATCGCCCCAGTCAAATTTCCTTCAG